GAGGGTGGGCTCTGACTTGACCTTATATATTTCCAGGGAGAATATAAAGGAAGGAAGGCAGGGATGGCTGGGAGGGAGTAGGAGCGGCAGGGAGGGCACCTTGGCTAGGGGGCGAAGGCAGTCTCGGTACTTAAAACAACTCTCCCCCTGTGTCTTCACTGTCCATTGCCTCTGCGCTGCCTCCCTCCCTCTGCCCATCTCTCTTGGCACCTCGCTCTGGGAAGAAAAAGAAGAAAGTTGCTAAGTTCACGCACGTCCCCTTCATATGTCAGAGCTCTGGCCCTCTGTGAGCTGGCTTGGCAGAGAGCTGGTAGGCAGGATTTCTGGTGGGTCCCAGGAAAACCCATGTCACACCCTGATTCTGGTGCGGAAAGCACAATCTCTGTGTTACAGGGCACAGGGGATTTAAGAGAAGAAAAATTTCAAGGATCAGGTCAGTATGACATTTTAAACAAGTGTTTTATATAATAGCTGGGAATGGGGTCCACATTCTCTCTGCAGAAAACAAATCCATTGTGGCATTACTTCTTTCCTTTCTTCTTTCTTTTGTCAGAAACAAAGAAATAAGTAAGCGACATTTGAAAATAAAAGAATATTCTGGCACTAGCTGCAAGAGAAAGTCCCTGAGCCACAACTTCATCATATCCCTTTAAAAAGGAAGCTCAGCTGAGCAGACTGCCAGCTCATTTGGCTTTTCCTTGGCATTTCTGTAGGATTCTACCTACAACTCTTTGAACTTCAAAAGGAACTTTCTCTCATCCAAGTGGTGGCACCAGGGACATGAATCTGGGCTCCAGGAAGCCAGCATCACTCACAGAAGGACTGAATGGAGAGTAGGATCGGGATAAAGGTGGGATCAGGAGGACAGGGAGGCTGCACAGTGGTGTCTGAGAGATGGGAGCTATAGATGGTGCCACAGCACAGACAGGTAGCTGCGGGGATTTACCCACAAACCCAACATCAAACCTTAATAAGGAGGGAGATCTTTTTGAGAAACTCAACAGTTTACTTTCCCTGGAGAATAAAGGCAGAAGCACAGGCTGATGTCTATGATGACCATTTATTACTGTGCTGTTTTTCCTGGGAGAGGTGGATTTGCAATATCTGGACTCACTGGCCTAGAATGAATCCCTGAAACATATTAGGGGAGAAAATGAGGGGAATCTCCAAGACAAGCAGTGTTTCAGAGACCTGCCAACTGAGAGGATGTGGCACTAGAAATGTCGATTTACCCCAGAATTAGGAAAGTCTCTAAGCCAACATCAGTTCATTCTGCATAGAGTTTTTTAAGGCCCTGCACAATTCCATAGGAACAGGGGCAGAATAATTCAGAGAAGGGGGTAAGGCAATACCCTAACAGGTAGGCAGGAAACTGACTCCTGGCCTTTGTAGGACACAACAGAAAGAACTGAGGGTGAAAGCACACTGGGGTGTGTGCACGTGTGTGGGATGAGCTCGGGGGCGGTGCTTGGCAGGGAAGGTTTCTCACCATTTCTCTTCCTTGCCTCCTCCTTTGTCACTTTCTGCTGTGCCGTGACATTCTGAGGCGAGCGCCTCCCCGAGCTGGGCTTCCCTGATTCGTTGCTGATGACAGAGCCATTCTCACTGGGTGACCTGCTGGAGGTAACCATAGCAACAGGGAGATGGTAAGTTTCAACTAGAGCAGCCTCCTCTCAAGGTTATTGGCACAGTTTATGTCTGTAGTGTTTCTTTCCGGTTTTATCCACAAAGAATAAATGATTCAGGAATAAAAAAACAAAAAACCTCATACCGCTTCATGGGTTAAGTAGCTGGTTGTTCTGAAGTACATTTACAGGTGCTCAGCTCGGCGGAGAAGTTCAGTGAGCACAGCCCTCAGTTCCCATCTCTTTTTCATTAACCCCCAGTGACTATGGAAGCGGTGGCGATGGGGTTTTAGGCATGCCCTCTTATTAAACACAGCACTTTGGAGAGTGTGTGATTCACGTGGCACCTTCAGGGACATGTAGGAATCATGAATCTCTTTTTTTTTTTTTTTTTTTT